GCTATTGTGCTTATTTATGAGGAGTGAGCTACTTTAAACCTATCACAGGCCAGATTGCTTTTATGGGCCCAGTCCTGCAGACACAGGTTTCAACTTCCTGGACCACTGTGGCCTTGGCGGGGAGGGAAACCAGAGATAAGGGCATGAGGTCATTTTAGGAGCCAAGATGTATCAGGAGAATGCAGCCTGTGAGGCGGCGTCACAGCATACTTTAACATGATCAATTCCCTAACACTGGGTCCCAGAGACCCACCCCCTTCTCCCCTTCCTCCTTGTGCCATTATACTCCAGTGCAAGGACACCAGATCTCAGAGATGCCCCCCACTCTGCTGCCCACTACCCTGTCCCTCCTCCTGGAAGTCTCACTTAAGAGATTTTTTTCCTCATTGAGTTTATTGGTACATTTTAGGTATACAGTACAGTTACATTCATGATTGGGATCTTGTATCTTTACATGACAGATCTTGGTTCTCATTTTTTCCCCTTCTCCCTGCCCTCCCTTCACCCCTCCTCCCCTCCCCCTTTACAAACACTTCATTTCCTCATATTTTCCCTTATTAGCTTTCCCTTACCCTTCCCACTTTCCCTACACCATTAGCCCCTTTCTTCCTATTTCACATTGTCCATTATATCATTAGGATCTTATATACTATCACAGCTTATTCACACCAGAGAAACTATTTGGTATTTATACATGTGTGACTTATTTATTTCACTTAGGAGTATATCCTCAATATGTATCCATTTTCCTATAAATAAGTCTAATCTCTCATTCTTTATGGCTGAGTAATATTCCATTTTATAGAAAAACCGTACCTTCTTTATCCAGTTTCCAACTGATGGACAAATGGGTTGTTTCCAAGTTTTAGCTATTACAAACTGTGCCACTATAAACATAGGTGTGCATATGTCTGTGATATGATTCTTTTAATTCTTTTGGAAAGATACCCAGCAGAGAGATGGCTGGGTCAAGTGGAACCTCTAGTCCCAGCTCCTGGAGGTATCTCCATATTAATTTCCATAGTGGTTGTACCAGTCTGCACTCCCACCAACAATGGAGAAGGGTTCCTTTCTCCCCACAATTTTAATTAAAGTGTTTGTCTCTATCCTTTTGTAGCCCATATCTATAAACCTCTCATAATGTGATTTTAAATTTGTCACTCTATATTGAAAACTGTGAAGAATCACAAAATCATTTTATTTTGTGCTTCAGCATCTAACATAGTACTAGCATATAATCATGCTCAAGTAATAGGTTACTGGTACATTAATAAATGGAATGCCCTTATCATTAATCTTGTTCTTTCTCTACTCTCTCCATATTCCCTTTTATTTTTTCTTTTCTTTCACTATTAGACTTCTCCAAGTTTATAAATGAATCAATGTGACTTTTTAATTAGTTTTCTTAGCTCTACAAATGTTGGAAAATGGATTTTGAACCTTAGCAAACAAACTGAAAAAGTTTAAACATTCATGGATGTGGCAATGTCAGATGTCACAGCCATCCACAGAATTATTTACCATTCCTTGCTGAGGAGTGAGGTCTCTGGACAGATCTGCCTATCCTAGCAGCAGCACAGATAGATTCTGTCATGCCGGATGTTAGGTAACTGGCCTTTCCCAAGCCTGGAAGGCACCTGAGATGCCATACATGGAAGCCAAACATAAGAGTACTGTATAAAAACTCAATTGGCTTGATTTATAGCTACAATAATTTTTTATGGAGATATTATGAAATAAGGAACATAAAGTTCCTCACTACTGGCCAACAGTATTAGATGCTAGTGAATGTTAGTCTTTTATCCTCATCCTCTTTCACAAGTTTTCACAGGTTCCTAAAGACCTAGATTTCTTTGAAATTTCTCTTGAGATCAAAGAAATAAAGAAGAAAGAGGCTGAGTGGCTTGTGCCAGTCACTGATGTGCACATCCTCTTTTCAGATGCTAGTGAGTACTGAGTGAGTTTCTCCTCTGTGGCATTCAACACTTCGAGAGAGAGAGATGCTTTCAGGGTCTCAGCTGCATTCCAGCTGTTGAATCCAGAGCTGTTCTATGTGAATTTCCCAAGGCTAGTACAATCAGCCCACAACCAGGGACTAGTCTGCTGGCCTAAAGTCCTGGAATCACTGGGTAGTGCTGTCTCTTCCTCCCCTTGCTTGAGGAGGAGCCATAGATCTTTGCAGCAGGTTAGGGAACTCCTTAGCAGTATTTTGAGCAGAATAGCAGGTGAGCATAAATAAGAGCTAGATTTAGTTGCTAGAGGCCAACTTAAAGAACTTGAGATTCTTAGCAACAATATTCTAGTTCTCCCGGGGACAGGAATTAATGTGATACACCCTCATGATGTTCTTTAATATTAAGTAGATGCATCACCTATATATGTATATAATTAAAACACAAAGATAATAGAAAAAATTAGTTGTAAAATAGCCTCTTTAAAGCTTTAGATTTGACTTCCTGAAATACAGTACAGTTCAATTTCTGTTTTAAAATCACATTTCTGTTCTGCACTCATAGACTCCCTGTTGCTCACACACAGTTCCTGTTAGCTGCAGCAAAGGAAGTTGCTTATAGAACAGCTTTGCCTCTAAGCACTTTTAGAGGTATGTGGAATTGAGGTCAGTAACCCTTTAGTGTTTAAATGCACTATATCTGTTTTCTGGGACTCCTTTTACCTAAGGAAATGAAAGAGGAATTGTTTTCTTCCTAATTTTTCAAGTGTGTACAAAGTGAGGAGCTGCATCTTCTGGCCACTTTGCTTAGTCTTTGCAGTCAGAACTCCTAAAAGCTGGAACTCTTGGATATCTTGCAAAAACATGTTAGTGATACCTTGTTTTGAAAAATTTTTAAAGCACTGTTTTTTTCTTTCTCTTCAGGAGCATCTAAAGGCCTTCGATGATGAAGTCAATGCCTTTTTGGACCATATGTTTGGACCTCGAGGTGAGTGAGCTACTTGAGAACTACATGTGGAAAGAGCTCAAGAAGGTTGACACTTAGTTATAAAAAGAATTGTTGTCTGATGCCTTGAGAATAGCATGGAATGTAGCACTTAGAAACTTTAACTTCCTTCCTCTTTATATCTGTCTCTCCCAGAACATCTCAAAGGCCCCATTCTTTCTCCTACTTAATCTCTCCTTAGATGAAAGAATAGCAGGAAGCAGGAGCATATGAAATGTGGTGCCTCTCCAGCTACAAAGCCAAGTTGTGGCTTTCTTCTAAAGTAGGCTACTTTCCTTTTCTTTCTCCACTACCCACCTTCCTCCTTCCTTGCCCATGGAGTCATCTAAGAATTCCTGCCTTTCCATGCCGTCTTGAGCTCCTTTTACCCATGTCACCTTGCTGTGCTTTGGCCAATGGGAATGAGCACAGCAGTCTTCAGTATTTTCTTCATCACCAAATCACTTGGACTACAGCAGCCTCCTAACTGGTCTCCCAGCTTCCAGTCATTTATTGTCAGCTGAAATAACATTCTGAAGAACTAAATCACACTCTGGGACTCTCCCTTCCAACTCACTGCCATTAGGGTGAAAAGAAAACTTTTGGCATGGATTCTAAACCCTTGATTTATCTCACCCCAGCCACCTCTCCCACATAGCACCATTAATTCCTCTTCACAAACTTTGTCACAGCCACCTGAGACATCCTTTAAATTCCTCAAATATGCAGAGTTCCTCTATGTGCTGTGGGTAGAGCCTGCAATTCCTCCCTGCTATCTCCCGCCCCTCACTCTGGTGAGCATCTTCACTCTCATACCTCATGTATCAGATGTTACTTTTTCAGACAGCACCCCCCCAAGCAGGCGTTCTTGTTTCTGTTCACCTGTTTATTTCCTTCACACACTCACTGTGATCTGTAGCAGTCATTCCCAGGTGGGCAGGAGCCAGGATGGTTTTACTAGCCACTTATCTCCAGAGCTAACCACAGTTCTGGGAGCACATTGATGTTAAATATTTTACAAATGAATTGTAGACAAAATGTTTTGTTTCACTTAAGCCTTACCAGTTCACAAAGCTGTGGAAAACTCACAGTTCTTACAAGTTATTTTCTCAGCTCTGTTGCAGGAGAGTGGAGGAGGAAAATGAGGTTTTCCGGTTTCCCAAAATCTTTAAATAACCACTTAGAGATTATTTGGCCCATTCCCCAGTTCCTATACAGGCTCTCTAAACTATTCCAAGTGAATGACTATTTATATAGCTTTAACATGATGCTCTGTGTACAGCTTTTTAAAAAGTATTTTCACGTTCATTTTTTCCTCTGGATCCTGCGGGATAGGCAGGGCATCATCCCTGTGTCAGTGTCCCCTAACCTGCAGTTTCAGCGGTGGGAAGGAGAGCAGCTCAGTATAGTGGGCAGGGCTCTCTTGCTTACACATGCCAGACTCCATAGGAGCCAAGTTCACTCTGACCCTTTTCGTCAGTAAGACCAGTGTGACCTGGAATGATGCAGATAGGAGATCACTGGGGAGAGAATTGCAGTTGTTTATTCAGCATTGCTCATTTTTGGGGACATTTTCCTTTGTACAAGGAGACTGTAAAATTGACAGCTGATAGCTGGTTCAACCTCCACAGACACAGGGTGTCTAGCATCTAAGCCACCAAGAATCCTCTTCCCTCCTTGAGAGCACTAAATTTAAGCTGACTGGCAGGACACCTAGTGAACTTCTCAATGTCCTCTAGTCTTTTCAGGTTTCGGGTACAGCATATCTGTACCTTCAGGGATATGCTTGACACAGATGCAGAGCTAAGAAATGTTAGTATTTATTCCCAGGCCTTGGTTAGAGGGGTTAACTGTAGCAAACATTCATAGGAACATGAAAGAAAACAAAAAATTTCAGGTGCTGCATTCATTTTATAGTTTGCACCTGACTTGGTGTGCCTGTGGATATATCTTTAATGAATGTTTCCTCTTTAACTCAGTGTTCAGTGGATATAAGTGAGACAAAGGAGAGAGATGAGACTTAGTCACTGTTTTATGGAGCACATACTGTATTTGGGAGGTAAAATTACTGTATTTGAAATAACTGAAAAGCAATTAAGTACATATGTTCATTTCCTAGAGCTATCATTAACAGTGCCACAAACTAGGTGGCTTGCAATAGCAGAAATGTATTCTCGTAGTTCTGGAGGTCAGCAGTCTGGAAACACAGTGTTGGCTGGGGCCTGGCCACTCTGAGGTCATAGAATAATCTGTTTGGAGCCTCTCCCCCAGTTTTGGTGGTGGCTGGCAACTTTGATGTTCCAGAGGTCACCCCTCTTTGCAACAGTCTTTACATGGCATTCTCTTTGCATCTCTGGATCCAAACCTCCCCCTTTATAAGGACACCACTTACGGGGTTCGGATCCACCTTTATCCACTATGACCTTTTCTTAACTTGATTATGTCTTTAAATACTTTGCTTCTAAATAGTCATATTCACAGATGTGAGAAGTTAGGACTTGAACGTATCTTTTGGAGGCACAGTTGAACCCAGAACATCATTAACAGGAGACAAGGTACAAGTTTAGTACACAAGTTATTTAAACTTTTTTCCTGTTGTTCAGTTTTTCTTAGAAGTAAACTAGGTGTAATATTATTGCCTACATAATAGGATTGCTTTGAGAATTGAAAACATTAATACATATAAAAGCCTTTAGTTTGTGGCAAAAACTAATTTTATGTAAAGGAGGAGTGGTGGTTATAAAGTAGCAGTAGGGGATGGCTCCTTCAGGAGGCAGGACCTTTATTTGGGCATTAACGGAGGAGCACAACTTACATGTGGGGGATGGACATGAGGCAGTAGCATCCAGCACAGACTTTCATGACCGGTGATTAGAAGCTAGGTTGGTGAAGAGTAGCATCCGAATCGCACGGATGCTGAGCTTTTTACCTTTTTATTTTCATTATCACTGGGAGAAGTTTACAGAAGAAGTAATGGGACAGAGCTCAGGTAGGCACTATCATAAAAACAGAACCATCTAGAAGGTGGGTATGTTAATGAAAGTTGGGGCACGACACAGTATAGGATATACGAATAAGGGGGACTGAGACTAGGGGGGAACCAAAGAGATCAAGAAGGCACTACCACTCGGGGTGTAGTTCATTGGCAGAGCTGTTGCCCAGCATGCATGAGGCTGGGTTCCATCCCTAGCTCCTCAAAAAAAAAAGGCATTGCTTATAGGGAAATTAAAAACAGCACATAATTTTTATAATTTTAAACAAAAAGAACAGAAAAGTCATTCATTTGGGCCTACAGTTATTTTCAGGTGTTATATTATGGGTGTATGATAAGGGGCTTTGTTTAGGCTTTTAAATTTTCATTCTCTAGAGTTAAAGGCTCTTGATGTATCCAGGTTCCTGCCTCCCTGCTGTTCATACTTCTATGGCCAGGTATGGGTCCTTAACTACATTTTCTTGTTCTGAATCAGTTCCAAGATGTGGTCTCTGCTGTCTTCAGCTTTTCATGCTTCCTGTACTATAAAAGCTCGTTGCTCCATTTGGATTCATAAACCCACTCCTGGTTTACTAAACAGTGATTCTAAGCAGTGTGGGTTTTAGGAATTAGATGCAATGCCGGTATACCTATCTCCTCTAACTTCCCAGATCTTCTCTACAGAACACTAGCAATGAATCATGGCCCCAGGGGCAGAGGTGAATTCAAATCCAAACACAATCATTATGTGACTTTTTGCTAGTTACTATAAGTATTTTGAGCTCTTTTTTTAAAAAAAAAATCTGTAAAATGGCACAGTGGTGCTCAATTCATATTAAGTTTAACTAAGTAAATGCAATAACACTTCCGAAGTCAGCATTGAGAAGCTTCTCACTTTTCTTTTGTCATTCAGTGTTCAGAGCTTAAGCCCTGCTTGCTCTATGACACCTTCCTTAACTATTCATTCCCTACTGGTTTCCAACCCAAATCATATCAGCACTAAGTTCCCTGTTGTGTTTGCTAAGTATTCCTTATCTGTATTTTCACTTACCAGCAGTTAGCTGCAGTCTGAAAATATTAAATGGAAAACTCCAGAAATAGCAATTCATACATTTTGAACTGCATACTGTTCTAAGTATCATGATGAAGTCTCACTCTGTCTTGCCCTGATTTACGCAGTGTATCCATGCAGTCTACACTATAGCAGTTAGTCACTTAGGAGCTGCTTGGTGGTCAGATGATCCAGTTCCTTTTACTTAATTATGGCTCGTGTGCAAAAGTAGTGATGCTGGAAGTTTGGATATGGCAAAGAGACACCTAACTTGCTTCCTTTAAATGAAAAGGTAAAAGTTCTCAGGAAAAAGTGTAGGGCTGAGGTTGCTAAGATTTATAGTAAGAATAAATCTACCCATGAATTGTGAAGGACAAATCTGTGCTAGTTTTACTGTCACAGCTCACACTGCAAGGTCAGGACTACAGTACATGATGAGTATTTAAAGTGAAAAAGGCATTAAATTTGTATAGGGAAGGAACACAGTACGTGGCATTCACCGGGCATCTTGAAACATGTTCTCTGAGGGAGGACAAGGCAAATCGCTCCACAGACAACGTGCATGTGGCAGCACTGCTGACTAAACAGAAGAGGTCCTCTTCAGGGTTTTCTGTATGTGCTTCTTTTCAGATTCTCGAGTCAGAGGATGGTTCATGTTGGACTCTTACCTTCCTACCTTTTTTCTAACTGTTTCATATCTGCTCTCAATATGGCTGGGTAATAAATATATGAAGAACAGACCTGCTTTCTCTCTCAAGGGAACACTCACCTTGTATAACCTCGGAATCACGCTTCTCTCTGCATATATGCTGGTAGAGGTAAGTGTTTGTGTAGCCAAAGCTGAGCTGGTAATTAAGCCATTTCAGAAGTAATCACATCTGGCCTAGAACTGTGCAGAGTTGTTGTGAATACTGTTCTGTAAGACCTCAGCAATCCAACAACAGTACTGTTATGTCTTCCCAAAGTCCTGGAAGTCTTTGTTTCTAACTTGAATTATCCTTATCCTGATATAGGTCTATTTTTTTAGTCCTTAATATAACTGAAGTTTAAAAGCTCATTCAAATCTAAGTTGTGATCTAAAGATCATGTGTTATAATTTTGTTTTTTACAAATAATAGTACTGAGACAGAAAAATTAATTTTCCTGAGAATATACAGCGATATAGGGTATTTTTAAAATTAACTTAAAAGTCACATTCATTTAGCTAGACTGATGTGCAAATGTGAATGTTGCCTTAAAGAACACTTCCAACATCTTTGGAACAGTGGCCAGGACTATAAGAACAAGTACTGATTGCCCTGCCTGTACAAACAGAAGTTATTTTACTGTATAGTACCAGGGAAAAATGTATTAACTGGCTGTAGTAAAAAATAAAAGAGACAACGGAATAAAAACAAAATATCTAAGTTAGGAGAAAATTATTAATACAAGTCTTAAATGGCTGATAACGACACCAATAAGTCTGTCTTGCTGTCCTTAAATTAAAGAAAACAAATCCTTGCCTAATGGTTAATATCCATTACCCTAAATACCTGGGATGAAGCTCTAAGGGAACTTGAGGCATGAATTACAGTGCAGGAGATACAATTTGGGGTCAGGAAAGCCATGCTGAAAACTCCAAAATCTTACCACATAGGCATTTATTAATGTACCCAGCACTGGGTTGTGTTAGCAAAAACAAAAACAGATGAGAACTCCTTACTACACACTCCAGACTGGCCATAGACATTTTAAATTAATCTTTGCACATAAAGTTAACCTGCTTCTTAGTTTGAAAAATGCATTGACACTGAAAAATTTGTGCATCCTTTAAAAGGTACTCTACTAAGACCTTGGCACCATGCCCGAGACTCCAATGAGAAATTCAGTTTTCATCCACTTTCTTCTGTTGATTTTCCCTCATTGTTGATTCTTTGGCAGCTCATTCTGTCCAGCTGGGGAGGAGGCTACAACTTACAGTGTCAGAATCTTGACAGTGCGGGAGACGCTGATGTCCGGGTAAGCACAGAAAGAGTTGGTATCTGGGATGAGACTGCAATGGATTCCTGCCCTAATAGAAATACAACAGAAATTTGTGCTGAAGATATTTGTGCTTAACCGATGCTGCTGCAGGACAGAATGAGGATGCACGGCCCCTTCACTGTTAGGAAACTGTCTGGGCTGTCTAAAGCAACTTACAGTCCATGTTTTGTGGAAGAAATGTTATGTGAATTTACTTACAGTATTTTTAAAAAGAAACAGTGGCAGGATAAACTAAAATCTAATCAGGGAACAGGACAGAAAGGACAGGGTGGAAGTTGGACTTCTCTCTGTGTACCATGTGCTGTGTTTGCATTGGAATCATTTTTTTTTCCTCATTGAGTTTATTGGTACATTTTAGGTATACAGTACAGTTACATTCATCATTGGGATCTTGTACCTTTACATGATAGGTCTTGGTTCTCATTTTTTCCCCTTACCCCTGCTCTCCCTTCACCCCCCCATCCCTTTTCTATTTACAAATACTTTATTTCCATTTTTTCATTAGTTTCTGTGTTGTGAAAAACTACAATTGTACATAAGATCCTAATGGTATGAATGATAATGTGAAATAGGAAGAAAAGGGCTAAAGGTGTAGGGGAAGTGGGAAGGGTAGGGGAAAGGAAATAAGAAAGGCGGCCTCCCCTAAAAAAGTTGGAAACGATCTAAAATATATGAATATACTTATATATTCATATATATTATCATGTATTATATATAACTTTATGGAAAATTGTTCAGGTGACCTTACAACAGTATTTTGAGTGGACATCCCTAGTGAAATATATCTTAATAGAATTCAATAGTTTTGTTGTTGTTGCTAATACTGGTTTAATGCTGTTCTGAGACTGTTTACAGAGACATTGTAGGATGAAATAAGTATATAATGAATATTGTTAAAATAAACATTCAATAATCATAGGTAAAAACTGGGAAGGCTTAAAGAATTTATCTTAGAAAAGGCCACGTTATTCTGACACCCCAGGGCAACAAGCCAGGATTAACTAGATCTGCTATCTAAATATAATCTACCAGAAGGAGTAAAGGCTCTTAAAAAAGTAGTTAATTCCCGGTTCGGCCTGGAAATATATTTAAGACCCAGGACATTTTATGACCCAAAGCAAAGAAACTATCTATGACTGTTAATGGTCAGGACAAAAAGAGAGGACACTCCCTGGCTAAAGATGGGGAAAGTACTAAATATATATTTTTAAAACCATAGGTTTAAAATGATACTTTATAGTGAAAAACTACTTGCCTTGTGAGGGTTGTTAGAACACCAACTCCTTTGAAGAAAAAAAAAAGAGAGAGAGAATTAAACATTTAATTGCCATTTATATGTGAGCTCCCAAATAGGTAAGGCAAGTTCTATATGGAAGAGAAAAATAAATAAGTAAAAACAATCAGAAAATCACATCTTGCATCTCTTAGTGAAATGTAGTAGTGAATGTAGATAGCAGTCACCTGTAAGTGGTAACTGTTGAGTGGCAGTGGCATAAGACTTTCTGGTGATTCACAACTGAACTCACTGTGTAGTCTGCGTATTGGTGGAATAGCCAGAAGTTGTGCACCTTCTGCTGTGCTGTGGGGAGAAGCACACAGAACCTCCTCTGAAGTATTCTTGCCAAGTGAAAATAATTATGCCTGAATCTCATTTCTTTGCTCGATATAGAAAATAAAGGGGTGAGAAGGCAGTAACCCAAATCCATATGTTTGGAATTCTGTACAGTTGGTAGTTTAATGGGAACTGTTACTGATTAGAAACTTGAAATTTTTGTGACAGTTGGGAAAATCTGAACATACGCTCTTAGAAGATATTAAGGAATTTTGCCAGACAAGATAATTATTTCAAGGTTATATTAAAACAATAAAAAGTCTCCCCATCAGGACATACAAATAAAATGATCTTGGATTTACTTATAATAACCTACACTTCCCCTAAAAAATAGTGGGAATGGAGAAAGTTACTTTGGAATCATACTGAAAATTCTTAAAGTTCAATGATAGGCACACAATGCTCATTATATTTTTTCTCCCTGAATTAGTACATTTGAAAGTTTCTGTGATTAAAATACATGTATTATCAAGAAATGATAGTGTAAACTATTTAAAATCTCATGAACCTTCAATAATACCTAGTGATAGTTTTTGGAATGCTCATAAAACAAAGGAACATAATAAAATGCTCTCTCTTCAAGTTCTTTTCCTTGAATTTTTGTAGGTAACATATGAACTTCATGCAAAAATTTTAAAAATTTTAATCTTTGATATCAATGGGTAAAAACATCTTCAAAGCTAGAATACAAAAAGATGTATCAGTTTTCTCATACCCCTTTTACTGTAATGCATTTTCACAAATCATTGCATTTTGAGATACCATATAATTTTCTAAAGGTGTTTTTATATTTGTGGGTTACTATTTCTGCAGGTTAATTATTCCATCAATCATTAAGATGAATGCCACCATTTTATGATTATTTTAGCAAGAGATAGTATAGCATAATATTCTAATCAAGATCCCCATTTTATAACATCTCCAAAAATATCTTACATTTAAAAGTTAGTGTTAAAAACAATGCTTTTAACTGGAGAAGTGCTTCCCTGTGAATGAGGCTGCATAAGGAACTCTATTCCCTACCACTGTTAACTAGGGTGAAGAACGTCTTAACTTTTTCTCTTCCTCAGACCAAAAAACAAAGGATGTGGTCATAGAAATGTAATGTTCAAAAGACAAACACATGTACCTTAGAACAGTAGAGAACAATTTCAAGTTAATGTAACAAATGGTAATGACCCCCAAGGCACTGTTCAGAATTAAGCAAGACATGTCTGCCCCCGAGTGACTTGTGATGAATTGATAGATTCATAACACTCATGACACCTTCTTAGGCTATGACTGTAGAGTGTGAAGTCATTTGAGAATACAAATGAAAGGCAGCTGGTTCCTCCTGAAAAAGGAAAGGGAGAGGGATGGGTTAAGTATCCGGAGATGGTAGCATTTAAGCACCTGTAAAGGATGATTAGACCTGAGGTAGGAAAAGAGCATTCAGCACTCAGGGAGGACTGAAGAGACCACCCTTGACACACAGGAGAGCTTGACAGAGGCTTGGAGCAGAGCAGGGCAATCAGCAGCCATGTAGGACCCTATCCTCTGCCTGGGATGGAGCAGAGGAGCACCTTCACTATGTAGGGGTTTTGGAAAGATGAGTCTTTCAGCAGAGTGAGGTGGAGAAACTAGCGGCAAAAACACCAGATAAGCAGCATTTTCCATAGTCAGAAAGATACAGATGGTGCTAATTGCTCAGATGAGAGACAGAATAGGGATATTTTCATTTCTCACCTTTTATCCTCTTAAAAATTTTACAGGTAGCCAAAGTGTTATGGTGGTACTACTTCTCCAAATTGGTGGAATTCCTGGACACGATTTTCTTCGTTTTGCGAAAAAAGACAAGTCAGATTACTTTTCTTCATGTCTACCATCACGCCTCCATGTTTAACATCTGGTGGTGCGTTCTGAATTGGATTCCGTGTGGACAGAGTAAGCTCCCTTGCTGGTTGTCAGTTCTGTGGAATGGGTCTCACAAGACCATGAGGGCGCCTACCTCTGACAGGGCTTTACAGGAGAATCAGGAGGGAGTGGGTGGCACAGAGGCGGCAGCCCAGGGGAGGTATTTGCCAGGGGCTGTTTGCTTTCCAGGCCGAAAGATCTGCATCTCACCATCTGTGTAGAAGCTGCTCTTTCCCTACACCCCCGATGTCAGAAGGCACCGCCCAAGCAGGTGCTGTTTGACCCATGGAAAGGTGGTGCTTGCTGTCAATGCTTCCCTGGGACTCAGTCAGCTCAGCTTTTAGGGCTTCTTGGCTTTCTATTCTGGAAAGTGAGACTGACATCTCTGGATGATGCACCAGAGCAATGACTTTCAATTTTTTTAACTAAGAACTACAAGTAGTACATTTATTCATATATTTTGTATGAGACAAAAATTTCACAAGACAATATTTACCATGGCTCTTCATGATGCGGTGTGGACTGTGGTCTCTTCAAACCTATTTCACTTTTACAAAAAGGTGATGACAGTTCTCATGGCATTGACTTCATAGTTCAATAAGAGGTTATTTGTGAGCTGCAGTTTGAGAAGCTCTAAGCTAAAGGCTCTACTGGGTATCATTCCCAGTAATTTGAAAATATTCTTTGAAAAATCAAAACAGGTGAAATTTAAGGAAAATGATTTTGTCCAAGGACTTAGGATTTCGTAGAGATGACAAAAAACAAAACACCAAAGATAATTGGCATACAGATGTTCCTTGACTGACAGTGGAATCGCACCCAATAAAGCCATGGTACATAGAAAATACCTGGGTCAAGTTTACTACACCTGCTCTGCTGATAGTGAGCTTAGCTGTACAGCACACTGTTGGCTGCGTCCCCCAGGGCTGATGGGACCTGTGGTTGCTGCCTGGAATCACTATAGAAGATCAGACCATATTCTAACCTGGGGCAAATTTGACATTTAAAATTCAAATTATGGTCTCCATCAAATGTGTGTCCCTTTCAAATCATAATAAAGTTGAAAAAAATCATTAAGTAGATCTCTCAAGTCAGGGATCAGGTGTATATCAGTGGCTGTAAAGGTCCAAATGAAACGACAGCAAGAGGAAGGAAATTTTGGGATACAGAAGTTTCTGGGCAGAAAGAAATGCTTCCTACACCCCTAGAGGAACAGATCTGGTTCCTTATGTTTAATTTTTAAGGAAGATTATAATCAATATCAGAGACAAATCACCAAGGTTTTTTTTTATAATTCTCAACAGTTTCATTACAAATTACTGATCATCTGAAACCCAAATTGTCATCATAAAAATAGTCCTGTGAATAAGATACTATGTAATTTTCATTGAAAAAGTTATAAAAATTTTAAGCACCAGCTATTCCTTGTTCATTGATTGCTGGAAACGAAAACTCATGACTATCATTAATATTACAGTATTTATGGAGAAATTTCTGTACACATGATACAGTACCTTTTCCTATTCATTAATTTGCATTTTTCAGGATTAGTGTCTTAGCTAATTTTCTCATTGCTGAGACAAAATATCTGACACCCTAATTTAAAGGAGGAAAGGTTTATTTGGCTCCCAGTTTATAGAGTGTGTAGAGGTTGTCTGGGTGGTATGGCATAGGGACATGGCTGAGGTGAAATAGTTCATGGCAGGCAGAAGGCAGCAAGCGACAACCTTCTTTCTGCCCCAGGGTTGGGGCAGCCTTAATCCTAGCATGGCACCATGGATCAGTCCCAGCACCACACCCTAGATCCAGCCACCTCTGAAAAGCCCCACCTGTGACTCCATGAGGCTTTGAGGGAGGGGACATCTAGATACAAGCCACAACAATTAGGCTAGAGAATTTAACCAGCATATGTGCAGTACCCTTTAGTTTATGTAGGACTATCTCTGTCAATCCCATCACAGCCTCAGAGACAGTTATTGTTATACCTACTTTCCAAATGAGAAAATTAAAATTTGCAATCAAATAACACACCAAGCAGACACAAATAAAGTGATCCTCTACCATAGTAGTCTCTCCTTCCATATATTCAATAGCTCACAGACCCGCAGATGTGAGCCTGGATCCCAGGATAACATTTGTAAAGCTCTCACTAAATGCTTTAGTACTGTCCTAATAATTTCCTTATACTGATCTTATCCTCCCAGCAGGGAGCTGTCCCATCTGTGGCATCTTACCTTTTGGCAGCCAAATCCCTTTAGTAGTTAGTTCAATTAATGTCACACACAGCCTCCTCCTTGCTTTGCTGAAACACCAGGCACCCGTGCTGACATCAAGTACAGAGAAAATCTTTGGGGAAGGTGATGCCCAGGGACTGGATTTTAGATAGCCCTACATCCAACATCTCTAAAAGGTCCCTGAGATGGCGCAGCTGCCGGGAGGTCTCACCTTAGTGGACCTTCTCTGTTTCCCAGGTAGATCTTCTCACTTTCTCCAGCATCGTCTGGTTCCTAAGTTCCTTAACATAGAATTTGCTGACATATTTGTGAAGAAGAATATGTATTCTTGTCTCTGTAACACTTTGTTTAGCCACCTTTTTTCCCTTATTTATGCTGGGGATTGAACCTAGGACTTCGTGCATGCTACGACGCAGTCACACCGCCACTGAACTACATGTCCAGCTCACAAAAGGTTCCTTCTACAATCAAATGGCTCAAAGTTTAGCCAAAACAAAGAGTTCTATCTTTGCAGACTTCTGCCACTGGCTTTAAGCTAACAGTGATAACAATAAAAGAGACCTTTGCAAATTGTCTGATTGGCACTCTGGGGGAAAAACTGTCCTTGCTTTAGTCCTCTTATCTAGGAGTCTTTTTCAGTATCCTAGAGTAACAGTACAAAAAGCAAGGAATCTATCAGCATGAATTTTTTGTGTGTCATTTTCCTATATCTACTGTTCAGTTATGATGCACTTGAAAAGGAATGCCCATTCTTACTGTCTAAAAGATCAACTCTTATACTCTTACTTTTTATAGGTTTTTTTGGACCAACACTGAACAGTTTTATCCACATCCTTATGTACTCCTACTATGGACTGTCAGTGTTCCCGTCTATGCACAAGCACCTCTGGTGGAAGAGATACCTCACACAGGCTCAGCTGGTATGTTGTCTCTTCCTGCCTTCTCCATGTAGTTTACGGATGGAGGGAAGAAAGCTAATCTCCTTAGGCCACAGCAGCTTCTCAATCTGGGACAAGGCTTTTGCTTTTTTTTTTTTTTTTTTTTTTTTTTTTTTATAAAAATGACTTTTAAGAATTACATTTTGTTCATTAAAATGTCTTTGGGTATGCTATTAGCTTATAATGGAAAGTTCCTTGCTTTGAAACGTAGACAAATATTTTTAATATGTGTTTAATTGTTTTTATTTAATTTTAGCTACTACTTTTTCATGAAGGAACTATAATGGACAATTTTATATATTTACCGATATTAATTTCAAATAAAATTTCTGGAGAGAAGTGGGCCACTTCAGTACTTGCTGGTTTTATTCCTGAGAAATGCAGAGGGCAGCAGTAATTGCTGTCTAAACTGAGGCCTCTGGCCTCAGGCTGTTTCTCACCTGCCACCCACGCCCACCTAGGTGCAGTTCCTGCTCACCATCACACACACGCTGAGCGCTGTAGTGAAGCCCTGTGGCTTCCCCTTCGGCTGCCTCATCTTCCAGTCGTCCTACATGATGACACTGGTCATCCTGTTCTTAAACTTTTACTTTCAGGTATGTGAAATGTCAATATTCAGTGGTCATAAACTGTGCGTTTTTACATTATATATTTAATTTTACTGATTAAATCTCATAGTAGCCAAGTTTGTGGGTAAATTCAGATAATGGTCTACAAAGGGAAAAGTAAAACCTGCATGCTTTTAACTCCTCTCTACACACTTTTCCCTGAAAAATAGTCACAGCTACTGGTAATGGACTAGTAGCCATTCTGTTAAAATTTCATATGCATGCAACGAAACCGATTCATCAAAACCATTGTCGACTTAGTTTTCAGTTTCCGTCATGCAGGAGCACTGTGTTACTGAAATCTGATGAAATCTTAAGGGTAAACGGGTATAATAAGACGGATCCAGGAAAACTTCCATAGATGGAGGGAACACTTGGGCAGGGTCATGTATTAAATTCAGTAAGCCTGTATCAGCGAGTTTGATGTTGTAGACTCTTTGGGGAAAAAATCCTTTAACACGAATCAGTATGGAAAGGGCACACTGGCCTTTTCATTATTCAAGTGTCATTTTCTTTTTAATTAACAATTTAAATGGGAGAGAGCTTCAAAGTGACTTTGTTGTCCATGTACCTATGAAAGACAATGACAGTACAGGCCTCAGATGGTTGTGATTTTAAATTGCTCTTCTTTGTGGATTAGGGAAATGGAAAGCTTCATCAAAAACATGAGAACGTACATTTATATTGAAAATGGTACTTTTGAAGTTGTATTCAACCCTATTTTGCTTCCTTACACAAATAAGAAGTGCTGTCTAATTTTTGCTGAAACTTTACCCACAGTGGTTTTGTATAATTTTGGGAACTGAACTTTTGCCAGCTTTTCTGATTTGATACCTTGTGTATCTGGGGTGACTAGGCTTTTTCTCTCATAAGAGAATTTCTAAGAAGTAACCGTCAACAAAACCGAACAAAGCCACAGGCTCGTATTGTTGAGGGGAAGCCTCTGGAATGCTTTTTGCACTAACACTGGAAGAGAAGTAGGCAGACAGCAGGGGCAGGTCACAGCACTGAAAGCTTTAACCCCACATGATGGTTCACTCTGTGTCTTAGTCCGAAGCTTGGTACACAGTTTCAGCCTTGACACTTGTTAATACCAGTGTTTCGTTTTGTTTTGTTTTGAAGTGTAAATGAGAAGAGATCAGATTTTTTGCCAAAATAGGAAGGATATGTCAATCTGGGGTGCAGCTCAGCAGGGTCCAGGGTTCAATCCCCAGCACCAAAGAATAGACAGAAGCCAAGTCAAGGCTGAATCCC